CCTCCTCCTCCTCCTCCTCCTCCTCCTCCTCCTTCCCCTCCTCCTCCTCCTCCTGCTCCTCCTCCTCATCATCATTATCACTATCACCATCACCATCAGTATCATGAGAATCAGCATCATCATCAGCAGCGTCAGCGTCATCATCATCATCATCACCAACAACAACAGCAGCAGCACCGGCGTCATCAGCATCATCAACATCATCATCACCACCACCATCATCATAAACATCATCACCATACTAACCATCACCATCAACATAATCAACATCAACATCATAACCAGCATCAGCATCAGCGTCATCATCATCAACATCAGCATCCGCATCAGCATCACCAGCTTCAGCATCATCACCTCCACCACCATCATCATAAGCACCATCACCCTCACGATCAGCATCATCATCATCATCATCATCATAATCATCATCATCATCATCATCAGCATCATCATCATCATCATCATCATCGTCATCATCATCAGCATCCGAATCATCATCATCATAATCATCAACATCACCAGAATCATCATCAGCTTCATCGTCATCAGCATCAGAATCGCCATCTCGCCATCTCACCATCATCGGCATCATCATAATCAGCATCAGCATCATCAACAGCAGCATCACAATCAGCATCAGCATCACCATCAGCAACATCATCATCAGCATCATCATCATAGTCAGCATCCCCCTCCCCCCTCTCCTCCTCCACCTCCCACCTCCTCCAACCTCTTCCTCCTCCTCCTCCGACCTCATCCTCCTCCTCCTGTTCCCCCTCCTCCTCCTCTTCCTCCGTCTTTTCCGCCTCATCCTTCTCCTCCTACTCCTCCCCCTCTTCATCCTTTTCAGCACCATCCCCCCCCCCTCTCCCCATCCTCCGCCTCATCCTCCTCCTCCTCCTCATTGCTCTCCTCCTCCTTCGCGGCCGCCCTCTTCTTCCCCCAGACGTCCTGGTGCGGCACGCCGACTGCTCGAGCACACGCGCTGTGCGCTCGCCCCTGCCGCTGAAAAGAAACCAAATGTTGGGACGCCCCGGGGGACAACAAGCAATTGTGGAAGCGGGGTGGAAGATGGAGAGAGAAAGGAACACGGGTGTGGATCACGAGGGTAAGGATAAGGTCGAGGGTGAAGATGAGGATGAGACTGTGACGAGAACGGTGACGTTGAACATGAGGAGGATCATGATGACGGTGCCGATGATGAATCTGGTTGTGGCGCGTGGCTGCGGAGGATGGAAATAAGGACGTCAAGGAGGAACGGCGATGGAAGATGAATATTAGGAAGGAGGACGAGGAGGGAGGTGGGAGGCCAGATGCTAGAGGTTGGGCGGAACATTGAGGGAGGGGGATTCGGGGCGTTTGGGACGAGACAAATAATGAAGAATGAGGGACGAGGGGGGGAGGAGGGATAAGGAGGACAAGGGATTATGAACCAAGGGTAGGCGAGGAGAGAAGAGACGGTAGGGGATGAGAACGATGCTAGTGGTCACACGAGCATGCCCTCAAAAAGGAAATAAGTGTCTTTGCAAAGGCTATCGGTACGAACGCAGGGCTCTGAGCAATTTGTCCACAAGTTCACCGTTGCCTGACTGGCGTCTGGCTTTGGGCAAATATCGCTTCTCTCCACGCTGCTCGGAACGCGATGGTCTTCGGCCTCATGGACAGCACCGAAGGCTATCATGGCGATGGCAGTGACGACGACGCCGCCGACGACGACGGCGACTATTAGCTGTGACCTTGCTTGACACATTCCGCTGGGCGAGCAACATACCATCTTACAGCCCACGGCTTGCACGCACGCGTGGCTTGTGACTGGGCCGCTAGGAACTTATGGCGTTCAGCCTCACCTCTATTTCCCAAACTTGCTCGAACATCGACAACGCGTGTTGCCAGTCCCCGTCTTGCTCGGAGACGCAAATGCCCGTACTGTAGCCGAGTACATTCCCGCACCCCACGTCGGGCAGCCCTCTCAGCAGCTGCATCGCTCGCTGCTGCTGCCCGCTCTTCTGGCTCACGCTGATGACAATGTCGTAGGTGATAGCGTCTGGCGTCAACTTCGCTTCGCACAGCTCGCTCAATCAACCAGCGCTCCAGTGGCACCCTGGGGCGTGGTGGAATACCTGTCCGTTGTCTGGTGAGGTTCGTTTCGCCTTTCTACGGCCGACCGCCCCCTCGCCGCGTGAGGCCTGAGAAAATCCCCCCCCTCCCTGATGTTGCTGTCCAGGGCCTCGCTCTGCCTCCAGGCCGCTCCAAGT